TCGTAAATTTGTGAAAGACACTGTCATGGCATGCCCACCAAAATCTTGTCATTTAGACCCAATGCCTACTGACTTATTGCACAGTCGTATTGACGATGTTATAAATGTTATAACTTCAATTGTGAACACATCATTAAGCGAGGGTACAGTTCCCCCATGCTTCAAAACAGCATCTATCTCACCTCTGATTAAAAAGCCTGGCCTTGACCCTAATGACCTAAAAACTACCGTCCTGTATCAAACTCACCTTTTCTTTCCAAAGTTTTGGAAAAGGTAGTTCGTGCACAACTTAAAGATCAGCTCACAAAGAATAACTTGTTTGAGCCATTTCAATCGGCATACACAGAAAACCATAGTGCTGAGACTGCTTTTCTGAGAATTGTCTCTGATCTACTCAAAGCTGCAGATGAGGGTTTGATATCCATTCTCTCACTTTTAGACTTGTCTGCAGCGTTTGATACTTTAGACCACAACATCATGTTGAGTCGTTTGTCGGACATGTTCGGAATATCTGGCACCGTACTTGAATGGTTTCGGTCTTACCTCAGTGATAGATTATACTTTGTTGTTGTTGATGGCATGCAATCTTGTCATCAATTGCTGGAATTTGGTGTGCCCCAGGGGTCAGTCCTAGGACCTGTGCTGTACACTATGTAAACATTACCTCTTGGTCGTACCATCAGACACCATTCCATGCCCTACCATATGTAAGCAGATGATACACGACTTTACAAGTCTGCAAAACCCAACAATATTCAATCTCTGTTAAAAGAAACCTCAGAATGTTTTGAATCTGTAAAAGCATGAATGACTGAAAATAAATTGAAATTAAAAGATGACAAAACGAAATCATGCCATGCTCAACCAGCTCAAAGATAAATGCTCTTGATGCAGAATGTCTCACCATTGGCAAAGGTACTGTCGCTTTTTCGAACAAAGCAAAAAATCTTGGAGTATACTTAGACAAAGACTTGTCCATAGAGACCCAACTTAGCCATCTATGTAAAATTTCATACTTAGAAATGAGAAGAATTGCTCCTATAAGGAAATTTCTTAGCACTGATACCACCAAAAACTAGTGTTTGCCTTTATTTTGTCACGAGTTGATTATTGCAATTCACTGTTCGCTGGCCTGAAGAAAAAAGCAACGCTGCCAGGCTAGTATTAAAGCAATCAAAATGCCACCATGTGACTCCCCTCCTTAAAGAGCTCCATTGGCTTCCACTGAAAGCGAGAATCGAATATAAGTTAGATCCACTATGCTTCAAAAGTCAAACTAACCAGTCTCCCACATACATTCAAGAACTCATTGTACCATCTACACCATCATGTGAACTAAGATCCAGTGGCTCTAAGACTAATTTCAACTCCTCGTGTGTCACTGAAGAAATATGATGAGAGACCTTTTTCTTTCTGGGCCAACAGCTTGGAACACTCTCCCTCGTGATTTGAGGACCGAAATAAAACTTGATACCTTCCAAGGGACTCAAAACACATCTATGTAAGAAATATTTTAATTGATGGACAATACCTTGCCTTTTTGTAAGAGGTAATAAAGAGGTGCCATTTATTTAATCATTAATATTTAATTCATAATTAAACTCAACACCGCACACTTTTTATATAAAGTACGGTACATGTACATTGCTAAAACCATAACAATACAGGGTGTCGTTGCTAGTGCTAAGCCAGAAATTTCAGGGAGGGGGGAGGGTGAAGGGGATACAGTTTGGTCAAACCCAAAAACGGGGAATCAACTGAGTACTAAATTTGAAGCGCTGATGGGCATGTCACTGGGCACCCCCTCCGTGCAGGTCCATAGCCAGAGCCTCTTCCCCCCCCCCCTCCTTTACACACATATGTCTTGTTCTTTTTTCGAGATTTGTTATAGAATAAAAGAGACAGCCTCGATCAGTTTCTATGGAGAAATAGTTCAGTAGTTTTAAGGCAACGTTTTGGGGGTTTGTAAATTAAGCCTAGTAATCTAACCATGGTGATTAATGAAAAGGCGACAGCAAATTGAAACGCATGCGATCTCAATGACGGAAGATATGAAAGAAATTTTACTCATTGTATACATGTATATCACAATGAGGCAATCAAAATAAGCGCACTGTTACCCACTAACCACTGGACTGAAAACAATTCAGTCTTGCGGCGCATGCAGTTAGTTAAAAAAAAAAAAGAAGAAAAAGATTTAAACAAACAAAAAAACTAACACTAACTACCGTTCTTGATCTAATAAAAATTCCCTGCGCAGACTGCAATTAAATACTAAAGATTATATAGAAAACACCTCTTTGTATTTGTCGCATATGTTAGGTTTTTAGGAATTCAGAGGCATATGCAAAAAATCATGACAATTCGCCACTTAGTTTCTGTGTAATGAGGTCGACAAGCTGTCCATTTGGAGTGGGGTTGTCAGGACTATAGCACAAGATTTCACTTTATGGTTGAGCTGTTTGAACATTTGCTTGTGAACTGTCAATTTGGATTTCCTCCCTCTCGGCACGTCTTCGTTCCTGAGATCGCTCACGGATTCGATCGTCAGTTCATCTTGAGATCATCTTGAGATCATCTTGAGATCATATTGAGACCATCTTGAGACCATCTTGAGATCATCTCGAGATCATCTCGAGATCATCTTGAGATCGGGAACTGCGTAGTGAGTGGCGGACTTAATTTGTGTAATCCACAGAGTACAATTTCAATTCCTTTAAAAAAGTGCGTGTGGGTGAATTTCTCCCGCTGAAGAAGCCATTTGTTTGCACCATAATTTTTTCGCCTTTTTTCTTTAGAGAAATACTTAAAACTATACAGGCTGCAGCAACTTCACTTTGGGTGGGAGCCATTTTGATAATCTGCTGGCCTGTGTAGTGTGAGGGCACAAATGAGGCCGCTCACGGATCTGATCGTCAGTTCATCTTGAGATCATCTTGAGACCATCTTGAGACCATCTTGAGATCATCTCCAGATCATCTTGAGATGGGGAACTGCGTAGTGAGTGGCGGGCTTTAGGCGAACATTAAAGAGTGGTGTTGAGGAAAATATGTTAACTTTTAAATGTTTTAGGTATATGCTGTAAATACCTATTATTTTTTTTACCCCCTTTAGGCTTACATCAAAGAAAACGTGTCGGAACGAGTTTGCAGTGACTTTTATGAATGGGCTTTTAGATTCTGTTTAACTTTTAGACCCGCATGCAAAGACCCAGAAGGATTAAACAGAGCGATTTGTTTTTATCCCGTTTTAACAGCGGTCAGACGAAAGTGAACGAGCTATAATTGTTTGCACATTCTCAGTCAGTCAGTGTTTGTTCCCTTCAATAGGGCAAGTATGATATCAAACATGCTTCTCAATACTGACTTGTTTTACGGCACTTGCAATGCAAACAGCTCATATAATTGCCTAAAATTAGAGGTGTTACTAGAGAGTGGTGTCTTGGTGAAATCAGAAGCTCGTCAAATATCAAATAGAAAAAAACAAACCAACATCCATCCGCCCGTTGGGAAATTTTTGTTCAAATTTGGCCAACACCTCTTCTTTTATGTTTACTCAATAACAAGAACACTCAAGCTTTGAAAGTCAACAAAGTTTGGCGTCCATTTTCTCGCTAATTTTACCTCTCACACTAGACAACCTCCATCTCCCTCACATCCAAATTTCTCAACTTTTTTTTCTACATAGCAAAGTATTTTTAAAATAAAAAAGCAAGATAAATGAACAAGTTATAAGATAATACCAATAACTCTATATGCCCAGTAACTGACGAGCGCCTGTTTCCACCGTGTCGTGACACACAATTAGATGAGCTTTTGTTCTTTTTGTTCTTCTTCAATTATCTAGACCATTTCGTTACTCTGTAGTGACCTGATTTGAGACAAAAAGCTCTCTCGGCGGAAAGAAAAAAACCCTTCCACAAAGCTACCCTAAAGGCATTCCTGAAGCGATGTGACATTCCCATTAATTAAGACCTGTGAAGAAGCTGCATTGTCTGGTGCTCCTTGGGGCTTGTTTTAGTAAGAGTTTCCCGGCCCTCGCAACACAATTAGGTCATAATATAAGTACCAAAGATTAGAGGTGTTACAAGGGAGTAACAAACCCAAAAAAGAAAGAGAATAAGGACGATAGATGTTTAACAGTAAAGAAGGAGCAAACCACACCAGAGCACCTAAGTAAGTAAGCTGAGGAAATACCGAGAGAGCCTCACCTCCCTGCTTAGTTGAGCCCCCACACATCTCCTTCCCCAACTCCACTGCAACAGACATCAGCGGGCGAAGATCGGATTGGCCTGATCAGCTATCTCGCGACAACCCCCCCCCCCCCCCACCCCCACACCCCACTTTCAACCTTCCCCGAAATTGATATGAAGTAAAAGTCATCTTTGCCCGCAGAGGAAGAATGTTATCAGCCTACGAGGGATTTTTATTCTCATTAGCCCTCAGAACGATTTCTCTACTCATCCGCTCATTGAGCCTTCAAAAAGTGCATGACTTGGTCTAGCCCTTCTTGGAAGCTCCGTTAGGGTGGTTGGTATCTTGCTGGTTTACAGAGCGGGTGGCCCAGGTTCAAATCTTCAACAGGCGGTTCTGAAATTGGGTTGTTTTGGGGAGTAGTTCGATCCCTTCATTGATGAACATTAAATTCAGAGGCCCCACCTCTTAAATAACCATAACGTGTTGAAAAGGGCGTATAGTTAAAGTAGATAAAGGCTAAATCACCTTTCTGATTGAGACAATTGTTGATTACCGTTGGGATAAACTGGCTAGAAGGCGTGTTACAGGCCCGGACACACACTGTTTGAAAACTCCAGGGAAAAACACAACAGATAAGACACATTCTAAGAAAGTGGAGAAAGTGGAGATTCAAAATTTGAAAGGGCCGTATGTCATGGTGAGTACAACATTTATTTTACTTTACGCAGCACATGACTCAACTGGGTTGTCCCAGAAACTATTAATTTGGGGGAGGGAGGGGGGGGGTTGGATTTTTGGAGAATGCAATAAAACGCTCATTAGAAAAAATGAGACTAATCTGGATTTGTTGTTGTTGTTATTCTTATTTTTATCATAGTTATTATTATTATTTGAAATACAATGCTGACATGGCCCAACCATTTAAGGAAATATTGCATTTTGTTAATATGAAGTAGAACTTCTTTAACGTTCAGAGATTTTACTGAATATGTTCTATTTAGAATACTAAACATTTATCCTATAGTTTCTTGCTGTAAAAATGATTATATGTAAGTGAAAATGGGAACCTATATCATTTTGGTTGCGAGCCCAACAGCCTAACCCCAAGACCACAGACGCCATAAACCACATGTCAAAGCTCACTGAGGACACCCCTTGGGTTTGGGCCCGGTATAAGCTTTGCACACCGGTGTCAAGAGGTCCAAGTTATACGCTACGTGGAAAACTCCGTTGATCACGACCCAAGGAACCCACAGCACATGCTGGGCTACGGTCCTCTCCGCCATCTGGTGCTCGAGTTGGTTCCCAAGGTCACTGGTCACACACGACGCGATCTCTTCCACGGGCATATTGTGGAGTTTTCCGCACTTCTCCAGAACCGGTTTCCAATCAGATGATGGGTAGGAAAAGTTTTCCTCAAAGCATTTGATAAACTTGTAGTGGTCCTCGAACTTTGGCTTGTAGTGGATAGCGCAAGTTTCCACTAGGTTTCCCCAACATTCTCCAGGGCCATGCTGACAAGTGAAGACCCACCTTTTCTTGGACTTGTCATAAGATTCTTGAGCGTTGCCGTAAGGAATAAAGTTGAAGTCCATGTAGGTGCCCTTCTCTCCGAGCACGTCAACCGCTTTGGACAGAACGTCTGTAATGAATTGCTGACAGCCGCCGCACTGGCATTCGTAGTACAGGGTCACGTTCACCGGTGGTGCAGCTTCCAAGATGGCGGCTTCCTTCAGGTCGGCCACGGCTGTTTCCTCGTTCTTGCAGAGGGATGCAGCGTCCGCGGCTGTTGCCATGACAACAAGGGCGAGAAGGATCGCGTACTTCATACTTATGGATCTGAAATGATTAAACAGAATACAATTCATGTATCATTCAACTCTGTTGAAAATGTAACCTTGACTGCATATATTCATTATACGGCGATAACTACATAATCAATAACAAAAACAAATACAGAATCCAAAAGAACGAAGCAAAAACAAACCAAAACTTAAGAAGATTAATTCTACTCTAAGACTTGATACACAACCGGGCTGCGAGGAGGAGTGGCCCCGGGGGGGGGGGGGATATCCAACTCTCCTCCCCCCACCCCTTCCTTCCTACTCACCCACCCATTCAACTTTTGGCTGAAAATTTGATTAACTGCTTTCATAATTATGTTTACATTCTCTTTCTATTGAAAAAGAACATTAACCTTTTCGTATCGTGCGGCTTTCACGGTGGGCATTCCCTAAGAACGCCATCATTTTATGTGCGCTATTCCCCGGAAACGCGCAATTTTGGGGTATTTTCAAAGAAATGTATCTCAACGGTTTTTAATCATAGACCTTTGTATTTGGTGTCAAAGTAAAGTGCAAATCTTTGCCAACACAAACATAGTTTTAGGACCACATTCACTTTCTTTGACAAAAGTTGTCAACTGTACAAAAGAGTGTATGACGTTGAAGAAATGAAACGTTTTCAAAACAAATTCTACACCCCAATACACACACTAAACAGTTCAACGGTCTTTCTTCAATGATCTTAACGCCTGTTCAGACAGGCGTGATCCATGATAAATATAATTCAACTAAAATCACTAGAAAATTAAACCGAACGAATGAACATGTGCTGTCCTGAGCAGCTTTCTGAACAGCTCAATATACTCAAGCATCGGCTGAGTCAGCCGCTTCTTTCGATTCAGAGTTGAGTTGTGCACCTCAAAGCAGCTAGGGTAGAGTGCAACTTTGCAGCTTGAGCCCTAGTGCAATGTCACTTTCTTTTGGCATTTTCTGTTCACTTCTGACACCCCAGCTCTGCACGCATTTCCTGTGCACATTTCCTACTGTCGCCTAAAGGTTCTGTGTCCGTGGTGTTGTTTTCAGCTTACTGACACTCTTTGAGAACATGCCTCTTTCATAGTTAAAAATCCACTACACCTCCCTAGAAAAACGTAATACAACTTTTTTTTTTTTGTCAATTTTGTTCAGATGCAGATTTGACACTACGTAGCAATGAAGTAGGATGAAGCAGGAAAGGCAATTTTTATTTTCTACAATAAATAATAACTTTGGGGTCTAACAATTACAAAGCACGCATTACGAAAGGAGTGGGAAAAAGAAGAAAAGAAGATACGAAGTATAAGCGAAGGTCTACTTGAGCCGTTCATTCTGAACTCGTTGATTTCAGATCGCCTCTTTAAATTGGCGTTATTGGTTTCGCGGTTTAACGGATCGCCACTTACGTGGTGTTTTGGGATTACCGTTTTGTTTTTTTTCAACCCGAAGAGCTACGATTGGTCCTGTTCTTCATTTAATTGCCTATTTTCACCGTTATTGTGATTTTCAGTCCAATTAACACATAGTTTCAGTTCCCACACAAACAAATCCTTCAATATTTCACCAACACACACACACACACACACACACACACACACACACACACACACACACACACTCACACACATAGACGCACATACATACACACACACATACATAGACTCAGGGTCACAAGAACGTTTTCTCGGTAGATTTTCTTTCTTCTCCTTCTGGATTGGACAAGAAAGTTTTCGTAAGTCATTCGTTTTAGTACACGTACACGTATGTTTCCTTTTGAACTCATTATTTTTAGTTCATGTATGTTTCCTTTTGAACTCATTATTTTTAGTTCATGTATGTTTCCTTTTGAACTCATTATTTTTAGTTCATGTATGTTTCCTTTTGAAATCATTATTTTTAGTTCATGTATGTTTCCTTTTGAACTCATTGTTTTTAGTTCATGTATGTTTCCTTTTGAACTCATTATTTTTCGTTCATGTATGTTTCCTTTTGAACTCATTATAATAGTATGTTTCCTTTTCAAGTCATTATTTTTAGTGCTTGTATGTTTCGTTTTCAACTCGTTGTTATTAGTACATGTATATTTCCTTTTTTATTCTTTGTTTTAGTACATGTTTTCTTGTGTGTTTCCTTTTCAATTCATCGAGGGCGCATTTTGGTCATCCGACTAAGCTTGAAGACGTCTTGTTTTTATTTTGTTTTGTTTTGGGGTGTTTTTTGTGCTTTACTTTGTTTTGTTTTTTGTTTTTTAAAGGGGGCGGCAAAAACAGAGGAAGAACTTCATTAGTCATACAGAAGCCTCCCTGTCGCTCGCTAGAGATCTGAGTTCGATTCCTGATTGGAGAGAATTTTTATCGAGTTTGACCCTGATAGACAGAGTTAAAGCCCATTTTCTAAACCTTCTAAACCGTATCGATGGGGGGCATTAAAAAGCCTACCTAAAAAAAGTTAAGTGAATAATATGGATCTTTCTGCGTGTTGCATTAATATTACAATGATGACCAGCCGAGACATGCCTCGTTTGGTAGCCTCCATGGGTAGCCTGAGCCGGTTGTTAGAAATGTGTGAAGGCTTAGTATTAGTCTTGGTAAGAGTTTTACAACACTTGTAACACAGACAGATCAAAATGTTACTACGAGAGATTAAACGTGTGGAATAAGTGCAGGTTAAATCTTTTGTTTGCTTGTTTTAGTAGAGGTTTTACGGCGCTCGCAACTGCATAAGGTCATATGAGCGCCAGAAGATTAGAGGTGTTACAAGAGAGTAACAAACATAAAACAGAAGGAGGGGAGATAAGGACGATACATGTTTGAAATGAAAGAAGAAGCAAACCACACCAGAGCACCCGCCAACCGCCCACGTTAATCTTTGTTTTCAAAAGAGTTTTACAGCGCCTTCAATACAAGTACGTCATATAACTGCCGGGGATTAGAGGTGTATCCAGAGAGTAGCATACACATCTAAGAAGTAGGAGGTGAAAATAATCTAAGGACGATAGATGGTTCAGTTTGAGTTTGAGTTTTCTTGTCACAATAAAAATACTCACAGTGTAGAAGCCCTGCTCATGCTGTTGCTTTTCTGTCTCAAAGCCTGTCCAAAATTAAGTGACGAGGAATTGAGGAGGAGCTTTTAAATACTGTGTGTGTCTTTTGTTTATTATCACCCTACGACCCACGCAGGCACGATAGTGATCACAAAAATCTGTGAACTAATTGTCTTTTATCTTTTGCACCTACATACATATTACTAATCGACCGTTTAAAAATAATAATGATAATAATGATAATCAGGGGCGCCCGTGGGTCTAAAACGTGGGCGTGCACAATTATGCCATTGTAGGTTGAAGAGAGTCAAGGGCATAGGAAATGGGATGGTGTATAAGATCTTTGGGTAGGTGAAGGAGGACCTTATGCTTTTATTATAATTCTTTTTACTTGTCGCTTTGATTTCTAGGACTAAATCTATTTGTTAGCTAAACATCAATGTCGTTCATCCTGCATTGGAACTGAATACTCAAGTAATAACTTTCACCACTTCACCAAAAAACCATTCAAAGGCACAACTCATAGGACGGTGGTTTAAGTATGTCATGTTCACCTCCCTCAGGTTCACGGTCACAGAGTCACTTAAAATAGTGCAAGACAATGAACCAATCACAATCCTCTTGAGCACTCTGCTGCATTGCTCGGGATTCACATCATTTTGGCTTAGAATAGTGTACAGTCTATCGCGTTTATTTTTAGACTACCTACTGTGGGCTATGTTTCTGGACTATTTGGCAGGAGCACATTTGAGATGTGCTGTCTTATTAATATTATTGTACCGACAAACTCACTACGAGTGTCGTCATCGCATGGGTTATCCCAAAGAGAGATTTATAGTCAGGTTGCCACTGTTGAATATCCTATTGTGTTTAGTTAAAGCGCGTGGACTTTGGCATGGCATGGTAGAAGTTTTACTGCGCTGTAGACATAGAAATGACAGTTACGCGCCAGCGAGGACTATGTTTTGGTATTTTTGGCTAATGTTTGTTTCTGGCTTCTTTTAGTTTATGTTTGTGGGTGCTTTTCGTAATAGAACATTAAACAATTTATTTTGGGCGGCACTGCACGACCGTGCTCTATGGATGAACCGCGCCTGAAATAATAATAATAATAATAATAATAATAATAATAATAATAATAATAATAATAATAATAATAATAATAATAATAATAATAGTAAATTTGAAGGGCACAAACTGAAAAACAAACATGACACTTTTTGGCATTTTTGAGCGAAAGGAAAATGAAATGCTTGACAGCCTACGTTTTTTCGATAGTATAGATTACACTTGTCAACACACATTGTGTGGCTAGCGGTTTAAGACTTATTTTAAGGTAATTTGTAGTCGGCGGTTCCAGAAATGGCATACGTGTTTACGTGTCGCGTTAAGTTGTAGCTCTACGAAAGAGTGGTGATTTTCATGTCAATGTCACAAAATTAATGAGTTTTCAAACAGCATAGTCTATAGTTTGATTTCAAACTTCACTTTCATAGTAGAGAAAGAGAACTACTCCAGTACTTTGCAACATACAAGGACTTTGTCTTCCGTCACGACGTACCAGCAGGTTTGTTACGTGCACTGGGTGTACATGTATTTGACTACGACCCGAATGAGGGAAGACATTTTTAGACAGCTCAACGAAAAATCGGAAGTTTGTGCTACGAGCTATGTCATAATGTTAATTCATTCAGGTCCGTTCCTGGTGATTACTCGGATTTGCTTTAAAGAAGAATATAGGCGCTTAAAAAAGTGCTGGACTGACTTGAATGCAAAAGCCCTCAACTAAAAGATTTGTTTCACCTAAGAATGGTCAACTTCTTACCTGACAAATAGGGTGTCTCTACAAAGTATTCATGATCACATTGGTTGTGGGATAGTTAACGGAAAAACACTGGGGAAAAAGATTTGACCAGTGAGGATAGCTCCAACAGTTGGAGACAAGAATGTCACCA